AAATAATCCAATTTTAAAATGGACATAAGACATAAACAGACATCTCTTTTTTTCTTTTCAAATTTTAACTTAAATTCCAGTTAGTTAAGATATAGTGTAATATTGGTTTCAGGAGATAATTTAGTGATTCATCACTTACATGTAACATACAGTGCTCATCATAACAAGTGCCCTCCTTAATACCCATCACCCAGTTAGTCCATCCCCCCACCTCCCTCCATCAATCCTGAGTTTGCTCTCTATAGTTAAGAGTCTCTTACTGTTTGCTCCCCTCTCTCTTTTTTCCCCATTTCCCCTATGTTCATCTGTTTTGTTTCTTAAATTCCACACGAGTGGAATCATATGATATTTGTCTTTCTCTGACTTAGCTTCGCTTAGCATAATACACTCTAGTTCCATTCATATCATTGCAAATGGCAAGATTTCATTCTTTTTGATGGCTGAGTAACAGTCCATTGTGCGCATATATCCCATCTTCTTTATCCATTCATCGGTCGATGGAGATTTGGGCTCTCTCCATACTTTGGCTACTGTTGATAACGGTGCTGTAAATATCGGGGCGCATGTACTCCTTTGAATATATTTTTTGTGTCCTTTGGGTAAGTACCTGCTGGCACAATTGCTGGATCATGGGGTAGGCCTATTTTTAGCTTTTTGAGGAACTTCGTCCTGTTTTTCAGAGTGGCTGCAGCAGTTTGCATCCCCACCAACAGTACTAGAGGGTTTCCCTTTCTCCACATCCCTTGCCAACGTCTGTTGTTTCCCGTGTTGTTAATTTTAGCCATTCTGACAGGTGTGAGGTGGCATGTCATCGCGGTTCTGATTTGGAACCTGATGAGATGGATGACGTGGAGCATCTTTTCACGTGTCTGTTAGCCATCTGGATGTCTTCTTTAGAAAAATGTGTATTCATGCCTTCTGCCCATTTTTTAGCTGGATTATTTGGGTTTTGGGTGTTGAGTTTGATAAGTTCTTTGTAGATTTTGGATATTAACCCTTTATTAGATATGTCAATTGCAAATATCTTCTCCCATTCTGTAGGCTGCCTTTTGGTTGTTGAGTGTTTCCTTTGCTGTGCAGAAGCTTTTTATCTTGATGAAATCCTAACAGTCCATTTTTGCCTTTGTTTCCCTGGCTTCCAGCGATGTGTCTGGTAAGAAGTTGCTCCTGCTGAGGTCAAAGAGGTTGCTGCCTGCTGTACAGACATTTCTCCTAAGTTAAAACCAACAGGCAACAAGTGCTGGCTGGTACGTGGAGAAAAAGCAACCCTCTTGCACTGCTGGTGCTGCTGCAAACTGGTGCAGCCACTGTGGAAAACAGTATGGAACTTCCTCAAAAATTTAAAAATGCAGCTACCCTATGATCCAGTAATTGCAGTACTTTGTATTTATCCAAAGAATATGAAAACACTAATTCAAAAGGATATATGCACCCCAGTGTTTATTGCAGCATTATTTACAATAGCCAAGTTATGGATGTAGCCCAAGTGTCCATTAATAGATGAATAGATAAAGAAGATATTCAGCCATAGGAAAGAATAAAATCTTGCCATTTGCAACAACATGGATGGATCTAGAGGGTATAACGCTAAGCGACGTAAGTCAGTCAGAGAAAAACAAATCACATGATTTCAGTCATATGTGGAACTTAAGAAACAAAACAAGTGAATGAAGGAAAAAAGAGACAAATCATAAAACAGACTCAAACATAGAGAACAAACTGATGGTTACCAGAGGGGAGGTCGGTGGGGGAATGCGTGAAACAGGTAAAAGGGATTAAGAGTATGCTTATCTTGATGAGCACTGAGTAATAATGTATAGAATTGTTGAATCACTATGTTGTTCACGAAACTAACACTGTATGTCAACTACACTGGAATTTAAATAAAAAATTTAAAAATTAATAAAAGATTATCTAAAGCAAAAATAATAGCAGCATATTGTAGAGTATATTTCATTCTTAGAATTAAAACCTATGACAACAATAACGTGAAGCATGGAATGGGAAAATTGAAATATGCTGTGTAAAGTTCTTATATTTTAAATAAAATGGTATAATATTATTTGCATGTAGACTGTGATAAGGTAAAGATATAACTTGTAAACCCCAAAGCCACCACTAAGTACATAAAACAAAGAGGTATAGCTAATAAGTCAATAATGGCTATGAAATGGATTCATAAAATTTCTCAATCTGAAAGAAGACTGAAAAGAAAAATGAAGGGACGAAAAACAGATGGAATAAATAGAAAAGAGAAAAATGATAGGTTTAAATTCGACATTACTGATAATTATATTAACAACTAAATACTTCCAGTTAAAGGCAGAAATTGTCGACTGAATAATAAAGTAAGCCCCTACAGTATGTCACCTACATGACACTTTAAAAATAAATGGGGGAGCCTGGGTGGCTCAGTTCATTAAGTGTCTGACTCTTGATTTTGGCTAAGGTCATGATCTCATGATTCGTGAGATCGAGTCCAGAGTCGGGCTCTGTACTGACAGCGCAGGGCCTGCTTGGGATTCTCTTTCTTCCTATTTCTCTGCTTCTCTCTTCCTCTCTCTCAAAATAAATAAATAAACTCAAAAAATAAAATAAAAATAAGGATGAACATAGATTTTAAAAAGTATAAGAATGGGGCGCCTGGGTGGCTTAGTCGGTTAAGCGTCCGACTTCCGCTTAGGTCATGATCTTGCGGTTCGTGGGTTCGAGCCCCGCGTCGGGCTCTGTGCTGACTGCCAGCTCAGAGCCTCGAGCCTGTTTCAGTCTGTGACTCCCTCTCTCTCTGACCCTCCCCTGCTCATGCTGTCTCTCTCTCTCTCTCTCCTAGAAATAAATAAAACATTTTTTAAAAAACTATAAGAATGGAGAAAGATATGCACATTCGAGTAATTTAAGTGGATATATTAATATCAAAGTACACTTCAGAAAAAGGAATAGGCCAAAGACAAAAAGAGACCTTACATATTGGAAAAGGGATTGATTCATCAGGAAGACATAATGCTAACTGTAAATGTACTCAATTACAGATTTTTAAAATAGCTGAAGCAGAAACTGACAGAACTGAAAAGACAAACCAGAAAATTTTAAAATTAGAAATTTCAATATTATATCAGCAAATAATAGAGCAAGTAGACTCTCTCCAAAAAAAGTCATACAAATAATAAGATTTAAATAATATTTATCCTAATTGTCAATTATAGAACAGTTGAAGACTTCATCACTCCTCTCTCAGTGATTGATAGAACATTTAGAGAATAGTAATTAGTTAAGATTTATAAGATACAGTAAAGATACAAAAATATTAAAGTGTCTTTCAAAACAGACACAGTAAATTTGACTGACTTGATATTTATAGATCATTCCACTCAACAAAAGCAGAATACATATTATTTTTGAGTGCACACAGAGTACTTACCAAGATAGACCATATTCATAGCCATAAAACAAGCTTCAGTACCTTTAAAAGGATTGAAATTATATAAAGTTGTTCCTTGATCACAGTGGAAATCACTAAAAATTAATAATAGGAATCTATATGAGAAAATCCTCAAATATTTGGAAACCAGGCACAACTGTGGTCAAATACCATGAGTCAAAGAAGAAATCACTAGGGAAATTAGAAAATATTTTTGAACTAATTGAAAAAGAACACCTCACATTTGCTAACATTAGCTAACACAGTGTTTAAAGAAAAGTGAATAACACTAAATGCTTATCCATGAAAAAAAGAAAAATTTCAAATCAGTGATCTAAGTTTAAGAAACTAGGAAAATAAGAGCAAGTTAAAGCTAAAATAACCTTTAGAAAGGAATAATGAAGAAGAGTAGATATTAATAAAATAGGAAATGAAAAAAAAGAGAATATGAATAAAACCCAAAGCTGCTTCTTTGAAAAAAATTAATACAGCTGATAAACCTCTAGCCCAGAGACGGCTAACATTTTCTATAAAGGGCCAGATAATAAATATTTTACACTTTGTGAGCCTTTCAATCTACCCAACTTGAAACTACTGAACTCTGCCATTATAGTATGAAAGCAGGTATAGACGATATATAAACATATGAGTGTGGCTCTACTCTAATACATTTTATTTACAAAAAAAAAAAAAAAAAGCTGTAAGACAGACCTAGTACAACAGTTAAAGTTTGCTCATCTTTACTCTAGCCAGACTGACTTGAGGAGAGACAGACAGACAGAACACAAATTACCAAAATCAGGAGTGAAAAAGGGACATCACTACAGCTTGTGCACACTCTGTGATCAGCCATTCACCCCGGAGCACTACCTACCTGCCCCACAACCCTGTCCACGCAGGCCAGAATGCAGAAATCACGTGCCTTCAGTGTTGACATCCATTTATTGAGGACTAATTTATGCTAACAGGCAAAACCGAGATCTCTGCCCTCCTGGACTTATCTTCTAATCAGGAAGATGGAGACTAAACAGTGTGTGGATTACTTTATATGCTAGAAGAATTGTGAGGCCAAGAGGAAAATAGGACAAGGGAAGGAGAGTGGGAGTGCTGGGAGTTTTAAATGATGTAAGATCCAGGAAGGCCTCATGGAGGAAGTAGCACTTGAACAATCCAAGCCAAGGAGAAGAATGTTCCAGGCAGAGGGAACAGCCAAGGCACAGGCTCTGAGGCAGAGCCATCCCTGGCACATTTGAGGAACAGCAAAGGCCAAAATGGCTAAAGCAGAGTGAAGAAAGGAGAGGCAAAGACAGAGATCAGACCGGACCAGGGAGGCCACAGTATAGAACCTTACGGTCTACGGTGCAGATTTGGGGTGGGAAGCCCAGTGGTAGAGGGGTTGTGAACACTGCAGGGATAAGCACCGTGAAAAAGACGAAAGACACCACCAAAAAATTAAAGTGCAATAGAGGAGTCACTCCATGACCCGGGCCTTTCAGGCCTAGCGTTAGGGAGGGGCTGGCAAGACTTCTCTTGCCTTCTCCTTGCACAAGGAAACGCATTCTAGAGAGCTGAGAACACCTACCTGCCCGGTCTCCATTCCTCCGCACGCCATCAGGATCACCGAGACAAGAAGGGTGAGGGGAGAAGGAGTGACTTGGGGATAGGGAGAACAAGGCCCAGGGAGGACTCCGAACGTCAGCTCCCCGTCCCCCGGAGCCAACCTTGACCCCAAACTCTCAGGCCAGGCGCCAGAAGTCTAGCAAGGTGTGAGGCAGGGGTCCTTGCGAGGCCGTGTAGGCCTGACTTCCGGTCTGTGCCCTGACAGAGGCGAAGTTCGCCACCCAGACCCTGCTGTCACCCCCACCATGCCCACCCTGTCCCCGACTCCCAGCCTGCCTCGCAGAAGCTGACTTCGATGCAGTCGCCGTCTCTCTCCTCCTGGAGCAGGGAGAGGACCATTCGCGTCTGGTCACCGGCCAGTGGGAGAGATGAGCAAAGTGCTTTGGGGTGACGGTGGCGTCAGGCCCCTGGCAGCCCCCTGGATGAAAGCCGGCAGGGGTGCAGCTGGGCGCACTCGCGAGCCGCTCAGGAGAGATGCCGCCGCGGCGCCGCCTCGGTGGCTCAGGTCGTCGCGCCTCCTGCTCTCGGTTGCAGCTCAGGTCCTGGCCTCCCAGGTTAGCGGGTTCCAGTGTGCTGGAGGCGGGCGCCGCCAGGGCCAGGGTCCCTGAAGCACGGGCGTGTCGGCGAGGGAGAGAGAGAGAGAGACAGAGAGAGAGACAGAGAGACAGAGAGCGAGCGCCCGGAGATTCCGAGCACCAGGCAGGCATCTCCGTCCTGTCGGTGTTGGTGTCTTTATTTAAACGTTCAACAACAGTATGAGGGCAGAGAAAAGGAATTTCTTACAATGAGAGGCCTTTTGTGATACCAATTGCAGAACTATCCCAGTCATGGTGAATTTACGACCAAGGAAATACCAGATGCTCTTAGTGAAAAACAGGATAACGTATCGGTTAAGTTGTATATACATCAGCTAGGAGTCATTCCGTCTGGCTCTCAAGAGGATGAATGTTTCTGAATTGGTTTGTTTTTGGAAACCAGCAAGGGGGCCCTGTATGTATCCGTCTTTGCACCTGGGTTTATGTTTTAATTACTCTTATCTGCCCTCATCCCAGCTGCCAGTGCACGGGAGGGTGTTTGTGGAGTGTAGGCCTTGAGGAAGGGACTGCCGTACATCACCAGTTGGTAACTATAAATTAGGTTCTTCTGACATGGGGCCGGGCTCCATTGTAACTCGTGTGTTCTTAACTCCCTTTATGATCTAAGCCTTGGGTCCGCAAGGCCCATAGGAAGAGCCTTTGACAGTCACCCACAGAGCTTTCAGCTAACCTCTCTTTTGTAAAGGCAGGAATATGCTTTTCCTTATGAGGTATCTGTACTCAGAATATGGGTCTGACACGGAATACTGTGAGGCCTGGGCAATCCCACGTGGCTTATTTCCAACACGGGCCAGTAGTAGCAGAAGGAGACCCCAGTTTTCCTTTCTCATGGCAGGAGCTGCAAACACTGCCATTTCCGTGCTGTGACTGCCACCCAGAGAGGCCGGTGGGGCTCCCACAGGCGGCAGCGCGGAGCCTGCTGGGGACTCTCTCTCTCTCTCTGTCCTTCCTCTGACGAAAGAGAGAAACGCAGCCTCTCAAGGGTCTGGGGCAGGGTGACGGCTGCTCTGGGAGCGAAGCGGGGTGGGCGGCGCGGCGCCCCTGGGGCTGCGGTGGGGGGAGGGGCGGGCGCGGCGCCCCGGGGGCTGCGATGGGGGAGGGGCGGGCGCGGCGCCCCGGGGGTTCCTGTTGGGTGAGTCTGGCTCACGAGGCGGCACAGCTTTGGAGCGGGTTTTCCCGGCCGCCCGCCGGGCCGGGCGGCGCACACGGGCGCGGCCCTACGAGTGGCGAAGCGGGCCTGGCGGGTTTTCCCGGCCGCCCGCCGGGCCGGGCGGCGCACACGGGCGCGGCCCTCCGTGTGGCGAAGCGGGCCTGGAGGTCCTGGTCGGGAGGCGCCCCAGCTGGGCCAGGGGAGGCAGGGGGGAAAGAGGGTCCAGATCAGAGTTCTGGGGCACAGAGTCGCGCCGTGGCTGTCAGCTCTCGCAGGGTCCCCCCGCCCGCCCGCCGAGGGCCCTCCGCTCAGCGTCCGGGCCGCGGCTCCGACGCAGAGGGCTGGCCGGCCCGGACGGGCGGCTGGACGCGGGGCGGCTGCGGAGGTCCCACCTCCGACCTCGCGACCCAGTGGAAGCGCCCGGAGGTCCGGAGCTCGCCGCGCAGGCCCGCGGGCTCCCGCTCCCCGCCGCGGCCGGGCGCCCGGTCCCCCGCGGCCGCCGGCGGCGGGACTGAGCGCGCGTGGGGCCTGTGGGTGACCCCGCGCCCTCCCGCGGCCGCTTCCCCTCGTTTGGAACCCGGACCCACGCCCGAGGCCAGGCTTCCTCCACGTGGATAGACGGCCATTCGTTCTCGCCGGGCCTCCGCTGTCGGACGGCCTCCCCGAGACGCAGACGGGGCTCCGAGCGGGAGTGGTGCTGCGGTCGTGAGGGGACGCTGTCGCCGAGAGCGCGCTGCCACCCCTGCGTCGAGGACCTCGAGTTGGGGGCGTCCCTAGCCGTGCGCTCCGGCGGGGCGGGGCCGAGAGAGGTCGCAGCAGGT